AATAAACCCCCCCCCCCCCCCCCCCCCCCCCCCCCCCGCACTTACGACAGGTTATCGCCGCCACCTTCCTGTCCGGGGTAGCAACCTCGGCGTGGACGTGGACGGGCCCGCTCTCCCGAGACGCCACCTTCGCCGCCGTTACCGCGGCCGCCGCCGCGTCCCGAGCGGCGTCCACGATGCTCGCACGGCCGGCCCTGGGCAACCTCTTGAGCGTCGCTCTCGGCCACGCCGGCGGCGGCGGCGGCGTCAGCGACCGGCACCACCGCCGGCGGTCGGCGGACGGCGTCCTGCTGGCGGTGACCGCCGGGGTTTCGCAGTCAATAGGCGTGTTGGCGATGGGGGTGGTGTTTTCCAGGGCCGTGGCGGCTGGAGCGGACGCCGGCGTCGTGTCGTTCAGGCTCGTCGCTGCTGCCTTCGTCGGCGTGTATCTGGCGACGCTCTTGGTGTCTTCCTCGAGCGGGACGGCGGGGTCCAGGGCGCGATGGCGCTGCGGCGGCGGCGGCGGCAGCGGCGGGCCCTGGCTCGCCATGTGTGACTGCGTGGAGGAGGCGACGGCCGCGAGCACCGTGTCGTCCCCGCCGATGTCGTCGTACACGCTGGGGGAGGTGTGGGGGGGGGATCAAGCGGGGGGCGGGTGGGTCGCGGGTGCAAGCGACCTGGCAAAGGAGTCTTGATTTTGATTCCCTTTAGTGGCTTGCACTCAAATCAAATACTTTGTTTTTAAAGTCTCCACGAAATATGGGTTGCGAGTTTAGTATTTCCGTCATGGCCGACGCCAAGGTGGCTGTATTTGCATGGCTCTCGCCGCTGTTGGTGTAGGCAGAAGAGTATCAAATGTGAGTTGTTTGTTAGCGATGTGCTGTGTTGTGCTGCGGTCTGGGATAAGTTTCACAACTCCGACGAATGTTTGTGCGTGTAGGGTCTGTCGACAACGATCGTTTGGTCTTGGGCCCGTGTTGTTGCGCTCATGATCTCTAGATTGCGTTGTGGTGTCGGAAGTGCAGCTGGACTAGGGAGGCGGGGGGGGATCACAGGTATGGGGGGTTCAAAGTTTACCGGTACTATACAGGTGGTATTCGGTGTCGCGTATCATGATGTTCATATAGAGCGTACTGTCGATAAAAAAGAGTCACGTCCGTGTCCCCTTTTTTTGTTAAGTTTTGTTTTTTAATGTTTTGAACAGGTACAACGGGTGAGTGGTCTCTGCCTGTGCATGTAGTGACATCCGGCGCAGTGCTGTTGTATCGCGTTGCCGCAGTATCGCCCGTTCGCCCCCCAGGTCTGCTGGGACACGTTCTAAGACACGCAGGGGAGAGCTTCATTCCCCTTGTTTTGATTGTTCAAGCCTTTCGCACAGTTCCATGGCCAGAAGGTGAAGTAGTACCGCCATTAGCTTGTTGAACGTTTGGGATGACACCCACATGGATTTCCAAAAGATAGGATAGCTGTCGCTACAACAAACGACAGCCCATTGATGTAACTGTCGTCAGAGACGTGTGCGTCCACGGGCGGAAACAGAGCGCAAACACCACGCACCCTGATGCTACACCTACCTGCTGTGCGCTGGTGAGAGAGCTGTTATGTGGTAACGAATGCGAGATTTTCACCTGCCGGTTACCTACCCCGCCCCCGCCCCCGTCCCACATCCCGATTTCGTGGACCATACCCACCCCCCGATACTGTTGGTGAACCCCCTGTTCTCTTTTTTTTTTCGGTGCTGCTCGGCACGAACGAGCTGTGCCAGTGAAACAGCAAGACACACAAGTCAGTTCTCGTCACCTAGCGCACCAATCGTCATGGGACCACTTCGAGCGTGTGCTCCATTGCGATATCTGGGGGCGTGACAGTGTTGGGCATGGATGTTGTGTGTGGGAAGAGCTTCATAGCGGCGTGGAATCCGATCAATTTTCTTTTTTTTGGCCCGGCCGGGCACACACAGCAGCAGCACGGCATCGCCATGCAGGCAAAAGCGCCAAACCATCGCCACGATGCTCTCGCCACATACAGCGCCCATGTCCAACACAACTGTCACGTCCAGAGAAACCACAATGGAGCACACGCTCGAAGTGGTGGGATGGCGATCGGCGTCCTACGTTTCAAGACCTGATGTTTTGCTGTGCTCATGTTGCTGGAAGTTCAATGCGTCGGTCAACAAAAATGGGCGACAGCAACAGCCTCACACCTACAGAGAGTCCAGCGGCATCGAGCCCAGATGCTGTCGCCCGCAGTGCGTGTGTTCTCTGTTGTACAGAGTGCAATCCGCTGTCTGTGTGTTCCGAAAAAAAAAGGGGGACGGGGTGCTGACCCCTTCTAGTCTAAAATCAAGTCATATCATGTACTCTAAAACCAAGTTCAAGCGAACAGACACACGCATGTGCAAACTTTTTTTTCTGGATGGAGCCCTATGTGCGGCGAGACCTCATCAGGGGAGATCAGAAATAAATCTCGCTTCGCTCGAAAAATACAGGTTGGGGGCGCGCGCGGGGAAGGGGGAGACTTTGCTTTGCTTTATGTGGTTTGTACAAGCTGGTCCGGCCAAGAAGCCCACATTGTGTCAGATGGTCATAACTTTGCCGCATTTGCGATTCATCTCAAAGCAAAGACATTGCCGTGATCGGGAGACTCTGGCGCTGATGATGGAACTCTGTATCAGTTCATAGCGGAGGATTCTCAAATAGAAGCATATTTTGAGGCTTGAAACCGTCAAAACAATCAACAATAAAAAAAAAAAAAGCGGCGAAATTACGCAATTCGGAGCGCATCAAGGCACATCACAGCAGCACACCTCTCTCGATAGCGCGCTGCGTATGGCTACGGACGCGCAGAACACCCAGCGGTGGGAGGGTACTTCTGCCCCTGTGATAAACCATGACAAGAGTGCAGATCGGTGGCGACTGGAGCTGAACTACACCCCCAAGAAGAAAAAAACTGCGAGGAAGAGGTCCGCATGGTACACCGCGCGCGAGGAGGCTGAAGCATGAACAAGTTGGTGGAGACTGAGTTGGGAGCAAGGCAACAACGGCAAGAAGATCAACCCAGGCACACAATCCGATGAACCCCGAAGCAACAACTCCGGATCATCGCCGGCCGATGTCGAGCTTCCTCCAGGCAAGTTGAGCAATGAGTTGTACGAGTGGGTCTGGTATGCTGCTGTTCCGCGGACTGGCTCCGCCGCTGCTGTGGTCAAGAAGTCATGAACATGATACCACCGCTTCTGCTGCGCTCTGCATCTAGGACTAGGTGCTGCTACTGCTGTGTTCACCCCACTGCTGCCTATATTCGTGCAAGACTGCTGTACAATGTACACTGCTGCTCTACAAGTACAGGCGCAGCCGCCATAATGCCGCCATGATGTTCACGTGCACAAGAAAACGGTCCGTGCTGTGAAGGTTTTTTAGCCCTGTCTGTTGCTGCCGAAGTAAGTGTGCTTGTACTGCTGCCTACCTGTGCATATGACTGCTGCACGACGTGCGCTGCTGCTGTACATGTTGTACAAGCAGCGCAGTTGCTGTGCAAGGGGCTGCTCCGTACGTAATATTTACTCGTAATTGTGATACAACCGCGGAATGCTTTATTTGTAGAAATTGAACCCATTTTGTCCCGTGCCTCCTGCTGTTTGGGGGTGTACTTGTACTGCGTGCCAGTACATGCGCGTACGTGCACGTCGGCCGCACAGCATGCACCACTGCTGTACAAGTACGAGTACCACAGTCATTGGCTCAGAAGCTGCTTCGTATGCGTGTGTTGTAATTAAATTTACACCGTGCTACAAGACAAAGCCACTGCTTGTTTTGAAGAGATTCTGAACCAATTTTGTCCCCAAGTTTGCTGCTGCTGTTCGATGTGCACTGATGTCTGCATGCGTGAACGACTGCTGCACGACTTTCGTTGCTGCGCAGTCATTGTACCAGAGGCTGCTCACACTGTGGAGGCACGAGAGCACATTCTGGTGCTGTCCCCCAAGTTTCACCCGGAAGTTGCAGGCGTGGGAATCGAATATTCGTGGGGGGTGTCGAAGCTCAAGTTTCGGCGGGAGCTCAACGATGAGATTCCGAACAACCTGCACAACAACATCTTGACATCCATGAACAGGGAGACGATCCTTACGCTACCGCGGGTTCGCCGCTTCGCACGTCGCACGCGAGACTAATGCCGGGCATACTTCAAGCTCGAGAAGGATGCTGTAGGGGCCGAATCCAAGGACCGCATCGAGCAGATGCGCAAGTCCTGCAAAGCGCACCGCAACATCATTGACATGGAACCTGGCTTCATGGACAAGCAGTAGACTTTCTGTGGCCGGGCATTAGCGCTTCCTCGTGCATGGGTGGGGGTTGCGGCGGGAGAAGAATGCAGCCGGTCTTGATCTTAGCGGCAGCACCAGCTCCTCAAGTAGTTTTCGTTCTGTCGGTACTTGTGGCGTTACTTGTGTCATCGTTTGCGTGCTGACGGCGTATTGTTTGTTGTTGTCAAGTGCTCCACGATGCAACAATCGTGATGTATTTCTGTGTCTAAGAATATGGTTACTTGGTACAAGTGCCTGTACTCTGGAATTTTTTTTC